ATTTTCCATTGCGATAAATTGTACCTGGAAGGATGCCTCTGCACCGACCTAACTCGCACATCTCTGAGTCTAAAATGTCCTCTTTTGAGCATTACCAGGCAGTAGAAAATCGTCAATAACACGGCGAATCAGAACATTTGGATATGGGATGGTGTATTTTTTATTGTCAAGTTGAATAACTCGGCTTCCTTTCCCATCAGTCTTCGTGAGTTTCAACATAACTCGATCACCAAGTTCTCGACGGAGCTCTATGGAGAAGAAAATAAAATTCACCACGTTAGCCTACCAATTGACAGAAAAGTGATTTCACAAGCGCAGAAGGGGGTTGACCTGAAAAAGGAACTGTCAATCAAGTCTTTTCCGCCAATAACAACCCTGGATCACAAATTAGCTAGAGTACAGCAGCATTGAAAAATAGTTCGTTCTATTAACACCTAAACCTGTGAGATGTCATAATTGGGTGATTTATTCTGATGTAGGCGGGTGAATTACTCATTCCCGTTAAAAGCAACAGTAACTCCCGTCCTGGCTTCCTCGCGGTCGCTTGAGTTGACTGATGTCGCGTCCACTATCATCAATTTGAAGTCAACTTTTGAAAACTCTAGGACTGCCATGTTTATAATACTTATTATTTTAGGTTCTGAAGGCCTGCTGAAATCTCTGAATCATGTGAACTTTAAAGGTCAGAAAAGGGAGTAAAACCTCGCTACTATTGTCTTTTCCAAGTTTCATACATCAAACTGTCGGCATCTACAAAAAGCTCCTAAAACCAAAGCGTCTAATGATTGAAAAGTATCTAAACTCCATACATGGGTCGTTCTTCGACCCTTCTTTTAAAAAACACTGATCCGATGGTAATTTAAGGTAAATGCATTTTTCGGAACCATATGCCCCCAGAACGGTGAACTTCTCCAGAATAAGAGAGAAAATAAGAGATGCCGTGATTGCAAAATGAAGTACGTATTCACGTTTAGTTGAGGGGTTTCTCTCAGCAAATTTACTAGAGCATAAAGACACGTAGTTGAATACCTGCTTGTAGACATCTCGCGTGGCAGTATGACGAAGTCACCTTTTGGTTTTCACCGCTGCACCTGTTGGTGTGCTTTAGTATAAATTTAATCTCTGTAATTCTCTGTCCTGAGTTGCACTTAAACAGCACACCACAATTCATGCTGGTATTAGTGGCATCAGTAAAAGGTGGAATCTCTGAGATAAGTTGGCATCTAAAAACGATGATACGAAATTTGTAGAAACATTAAATTTAATGAGGCGCCTTGACATGATTTTGAATGTGCGTACCCGAAGATGTTCGTTCAATCGGACTATTAAATGTACGCTCATTTGCGTAATGTCCACGGCTAACCTGAAATGCCAAGCTGATTGTTCTGGGTTTCTTAAGAAGTAATATTTATATTGACTTTTTATCCATAATGTGGCGTTTTTACATGAATCACTCAAGGTATCCGTACCCGAAGATGAGATCCCTCCGGAAGCTGGCTTTATCTCCCATAGTCTCGGCGAAAAAAGCTCTAATGTCTGCTGTAGTTGACACAGCGGCGATTCACTTTGTTAGTTTTAAACTAAAAGTCCAGGAAGCATGTACACTGCCCTTTTTATATAGTCCGACGATGTAGCTAACTGCACACAGAGCCACATTTACGTTGATGCAGGATGACGTTTGCACAAAACCAGTGCATAATCGTGTAATTCTTCTAAACTCTCGGTTCAGGTTAATGAGCCAGAAACCGTCATGTCTCGCCTATTTGTCCTCAGGAACCATGTCGCCGACTGTATTTTCATCTTTTCGGCAATTTACGCTTCATGGAGCATTAAATCCCGTTGTTGAAATACAGGTGTGTATCGCTTCCACTTTGCAAACCACTTTGATTGCGAAAATATTTTCCACAGAATATTTAATGAGTAAATTCGTATTACCTAGTCTTACCTCCATTTGCCTATATAATAAGGTTGGAAAAAACAGGACACACTCAGTTTCCTGACTGTGCAGGCCTGTGAGATCTCATAGAATTATGCTTTTGGCTGTTTCGAGTAGGTTTCCCTTTGCTCTCCACCGTGGATCACATGCGGCACGTCTTACTCAACCTTCTGGATTTTTAAGACAACATCGACTTGACTGCCAGTAGATAGAAGACGCTGTTGCTCCTTATCAGGAGCCTGGCCTTTCTTACTAAAATGGATCTAGTAAAGACGAAACAAAACAACTGACTATACACATTTACTTTTAACTTTCAATGGAATATTTTCTACCAATTTACGAAATAAGTTTTATTGAAGAGAGTAGTTATGATACGGGAAGGCAGTTTTTTTTAATCTGTCTTACAGGTATTGTCATGTTTGTGTCATTTATAGTCGTGTTGAAATTTTCAACAATCTCAAGATGCCCACTACGGTATGTCAAATGTTACCCCCCTCAATCGTCATTTTCGAAAAGCTGAGCTCTGGATATTTGCGGATATCTGGATAATAAATCGCTCGGCTGAAAATGTCCCGAATGACTTTGTAAATGTATGTACTCTGTTTACCTACTTTCTTCATCCGATTTTTTAAACGACCACTTCATAACCAGAAACTAAATCCGTTATATTAAAAAACAGAATAACTCTAAAATTGACGGTGAAATTTTTTACGAATTTTGACCTAGTTTAAAAACGTCAGTGTCAATAATTATAAAATACCCTGCAGGAACTCCAAGCATTTTACACGCAAGCTATAATATCCAGAAAATAATAACACTTTTACTTAGCAAAACACAGGCGGACTTCGATGTCCACAACCTTTTGTGTTAGTGGCAATGGAACTCTTGTGTCTAGGCTCAGAAACGCGCATGAACACAGCTAACAAGAGCTACCGAAACAGCAAACTACGTTGTCATCTAGTTCCATTAAGTATCCCGTCGGATAATATCAGGAGCATTTTCAGTTTTGGTTAATTCTCCTAATGCATCAGCACAAGGCATATATTCAAGAGTTATACCTGTCATATGCGTCGCTTTTAAACTTAACTCTTTTCGTACACTTAGCCTATTTGTTTTACTTGCAGTTAACCATTGACACTTCCTCCCATCGCGTACATCCGAGATGACAGATTTTCTCACGGAGAACAGTACCTCTCAGTCTTCATGATCCTTATTTTTTAAAACTGAAAAAATCTCTGATTAGCCGCTCATTTTTGGAGGAGATAAGCTGTACTTCAGGTCTGCCTTGAGGTTAATTTGTAAGTCAGGTAGAGCGATTTTCATCTAGTCCATCGCATACCTGTCGAAGAGTTTATTGTGTCCTTGTCTTCTATCAGCGAAGATGCACTGAGCCGGCTTTGAACGGTCCAAGTTAGGACTATGTTCCATTGAACTCCAACCATATTACTTATGGGAACGCACGGAAAAAAACACGTCTTCACGGTTATAAATGTTTTCGCACAATCACTGAGACAACCGACGATTGCAGTAATCGGGCTGTCATCCGCGCCATGATCGCACGCGAGGTCTACAGCCGCTGTTGCATCCACAACCCGACCACCTACCGCTTCACCTATCTTGTTCTTTGTGATCTGAGTGTCATTTGGAAGACAAGATGACGAAAAGGTGACTGGTCCAGGGACACACCTGAATGTTGAGATACTCCAGCGGCTGACTAAGACCACCAAGCAAGATGTGCAGTTGTCCACCCAGGTAGCAGCGGGCCAGGCCAAGGCGCTGCAGGTGACGTATCGAGATGAGTGCGCGGTTCAAGAGGCGGCAGGCCGCACCGGGAGAGTGTGGGCTTGTTGAGGCGAAAGTATGCGACGACAGGCTTGCGCCTGCCGCACCAGATGCGGTGTGTCTGGGAGGTGCGATGCATGCTGGTAATGAACAAGCTCGGAGGTTGCGCAGACTGACGATCCAACCGAGTGCGGAGGGCAAGACGCCGGGGGCTCCAGTCGCCAACTCTGTGTCCTCCAGTTCAAACTGAGTGATTGACTAAAGAGTCACAGAGGCGCAATAGCACGCACTATGTTATGAAAACACTTCGTGCTTTTCTTGGAGTTTGCTCGAAACACGTGCGTGGACACGATTGAAAGAAATATTTAAGAAGGATGAGCTACCATACCATTGGATCAAGGAGCCGAATGAGATTGAACACAGGTAGACGGAGCTCCGGAAGACGTTGCATCAGCAAACGATTGCAAGAAAAACGGAATGGAGTCAGCGTCTGGAGAGCAAGACCGAAGGGGACCTCGTCCACAGACATGTTACAATCCAGTCGGATTGTTACGGTATCTGTAGGGAGAGATAACCTCAGCCGTCTAGCAAGGGCTTATTGTTGCTCGATAAAAGAAGTTAGATTTACGAAGGCTGTACGCCAAAATAAAACTATGAAACACCTCCAGTCCTCAGGATATAAATGAAAAGGCAAAACTGCGCGACCTGGTAATGCGCGATGACAGCAACTTCCAAACAGCTATCTGGTCTGAATGGGAACATATGGTGAAGTAGATAGAGCTGCTCGACAAGAAAGGTAAACAGACTCATTCAGAAATGTAAAAAAATTGGAGGATAATGGACAGTGAGAGATTTGTAAAATATGCACGCGGTGTATTTGAACAAGGAGATCTGACTTTTATAAAACTGATCCGAACAAATGAATCTTCCCTTATGATTGATGATATTCTGATCTCGGCGGTCCTGTTAAAATGCGGACTGACCACTCATCTCTTTTTTCGATTCAAAATACGTTAACGTTATTTCCATAATCTAACCATAGTTCAGAACTAAAGTCAGTGCGAAAGTACCAGTAAATTTCAGTTAATATCACGAAACTTGGAGTAGTTTTTGGAAGTCAAAACGAGTCTTATAAAACAGGCAAAAGGTGTGAAGCTTAAATAAATTTAATTTATGAACAACGACGGACAAAGGACACATTCCCGCGGTTAGCTAACTCCGCCATTGCACATCATTCGGGAAGACAACTTCACGAAGAATGACCAAAACGGTCGTCTGTAATATTAGTAACTATTTCAGACATCGCACACTTTATCACACTCTTCCTCAAAGTACTTATCGCGTTTTCTCATAAGTAAACTTATTGAAAGCCGCTTGCCTGCTGAAGCCTTTTGGAAGAACAAACGATTCTCGTTATTACATGTCTTAAGGTTTTGGTATGTCATACGATTTTAGAGTTGCTCACATTAATTTTGTAAAAAACATGAATATTAGAACTAAATCCAGTTAGATAATATGCTTTACGTGCAATAGAACGTGGCATAGGGTTCCTGTGATATGGAACTCGAAATAAAGACAATCAGGTTCTTTAAATTTATAATGCTCCATTTATGGGTCGGTTGAAAGTCCGCAGTTTTGCATTCTACATATATTCAAAGTTCGTGTTCTGAATTACCGAGATACATTATAGTTAGCGCAGGTAGCAGTGAGATTTCAGACGCAAGAATGATAATAAACAGCCAATTGCACGAAGAAAAACCTTTCATACTGCAATAAAACGTCACGATTATCATTGGAAAAAGGCTTTTCCCCAAAAGGTAGTAAAAACGCAACAGCAGTTTATTTGGACACTGAGGCTAAGAAGTTTTTTAGATAAAGACGGTAGGCACACTAACTTTGCCATTCTGGACATGAAGGTAAAATTCTTTCACGTGCTCAAGGATTTTTTTCGTTTTATCAGCAAATGCCCTAACGTGGAATCTGCTGAAAGTTTCGTGGACGACCGTGTTGGTCAAAATTATATGTGAGCGAAATGGATTCTGTAGTCAAGTCACCATAAGATGCTGCCTACTGGTGACGCATTAGAGAATTGGGAATCTTGTCCGCAAAATGTCCCTCTGTCCATAAAGAAGGTCAGCAAAAATTCCCTGGTTAAATAACTTCCTCGACATTTTTATTGTTGCTCGATGAGCAGTCCGCCGAGCTCTGTTTCATATGAGTGTTTAGCCCCTATTAACCGAAAAGAATTCCGAAGACACTTAGAGAAAAGGTGGTTTGCCGAATTTTCCCTGCAAAGCCCACATGACTTACGCGTAATATCCTCAGCCTTTGCACTGTCCAGTCAGAAGGATATTTTTTGATAAAAACATATGACTACCTAGAGCAAAAACTACAACAGAGAAACCCATTTTTACACTGCTTGTCGTAGTTATTGGGGAATTTGGACATGTACAAACACCCACATGAAAAAGTCTCCAGATGTAGCTGCAAGTACAGCAATACTTAATCACGTGTCCGGACACGTGTCCTTGGTGAACATTAAATGAGTGGGCGGGTGTTAACGTAC